ACAGATGACAAATGTGTGTTTATTATAAAATAAAAATAAAGAGAAACAGTTCTTTTTCACAAAGAGCTCACAATTCTGAAGATGAACTAAATCTAAGCCTATAATATTGTTTCGTTACTCCCTACTCTACAAATGTAGTGAGCCTTAAGCAGTACTTTAGCATCTTCCCTTCAGCAGATCTTGAGCGCTTTACCAAAGTAGCTGCCTATGTTATTTAGGGGCAGGAAACCATTCTCAGAAAGTCATTTTCAGGTCAGTAGCTCAATCTGAACATGCCTAACTCACCAACGAGGCTAAAGTTGCTTTCCAGAAGCTCTCTGTGGGTGTTGAACCAGGCCTGAGCCAGACGATTGTTTTTATTCTTTCCAATAATATAATTCATGATGTAGGCAAGCAGACCTGTTACCATCAAAATCTCCATATAATAACTTTCCCAGCTATTTTGAAGGTGGGCAGGGACCTAGCAAAAACAGTTATTATAGTAAATAATAAGAAAACTCCAGAAGACATAACTCATAAGTAATAATGGCTGTTTTACTGAAGCAATTAAAATTATTTTCAGTGAAGGTCATAAAATGTTAAGAAAATATAATCATTCTGATGTTCTATATTAATCCTGCTTGAGAAACCTCAAGAAAACATAATATAATGACAAAAAAAGAGTTGGAAAATGTATTTGACACACTAGACTAGAAGCCATTTTTTATCTACATCTTATATATCTTTCCCCTCTGCTGTGTCCTGGTAATAGGGTACAGAAATGGAGTAGGATGGAAAAGGAATCTCCAGCACTTTTGACTATTATCTCAACACCAGTGATGTATGTGTAAGTAACTATAACTTGAAGCCAGCAGTAACAAAATATCACACTGTGGGTCTGTCTGGCATACAGTGCTTTGTATGCTTACATCAACAATTGTTATAGGGTCTTTGCTTTTGCTGGAAGACATATCTGGTTTTTCTTCAAAGCCTTCAAACTCTTCATCATCATATGGTTCATTTTCAGTATCCCCCTCCTAAGAAAAGGAAAAACATTATTTGAGATGATATTTCTAGAGAAAAAATAGATACATAAAACAGCAAGCAGAGAACAAAAATACGAAATGTTTTCTTTAAAGGTATAGTAGTAATCTCCCATGGTTTTTATCAAGAATTTAAGTTGATCAGATCTTCTCCCCTAAACAAATCATACACCTTTCTTTTCCTATGATTTTTAATGAAAGTGTAGGGAGGAAGAAATCTTCATTTCATTACAAGATGGACTTTTAAGATGAAACATTGCCATAGTAACAAACTATATTTCATGAGGGAGAAGGGCTCCACCTACTTATCAAGAAAAGAAAGCTCTAGGCAATAAAGGTCTCTAGGAAAAGGGTATTGTTTATGTGCTTAGTAAATTATCTCTCATTTCCAGACATTATTGATCTGATTGCAGCAGGAGATCTTAGAACAGAGGCTCACCTGGGGATCTGCATCTTCAAAATCCTCTGGGTTGTCATCTGGCCCTTCCAGCTCCACGGTGGCTTCCTCTTCATCTTCCTCAGTGGTGATAACTCGCTGAGGGGGCTCTGTGACAACATCTTCCATTACATCCTCAAATTCAGCAAAGTCATTATCATCATACTCTACCACGTCATCTCCATCCTCAAAATCATCAAACTTGGCTTCCAAGAAATCCCCCAGCATCAAAAGACACACACAGAGTAAGCAGATAATTCTCATCGTGACTGTGAAACAAATGAAAAAAAAAACAAAAACAAAAACCCAATGTACCATAAATTTACTTGCTTCCAGAATTAATGACTTTATAAATACTTCAGTTTTTTAAAAAGGCCATAAGATTTCACCGATATTTCCTATAAAGCAATTTGATTAAATGTGGTATAGTAGAAAGAGGACTAAACCAAAAACTAAATAACCAATGGCCTTACCTTGGCTCTTATATAACTAGCTACATGACCTTGGAAAAGTCATTTCACTTCTAGGGGCCTTGGCTTTCTAATACGCAAAATGTGAGGACAGAACTCTAATTGGAGGATCCATTTTCCTATGCCATTCTATTAACAAGTATTTAGTGAATGCCCAGTTTATTGCCAGCACTATGAATAAACTCCTTTGTTCAGCACATAAGGGCTTTTGAAAGCTGGTCCTATCTTACCTTTCTCTGCACACCACTCACCCACAAGACCTTCTATGGTACAGTCATAGATCAAAGGTAATTTTCATTGTAAGTTTTCAAAGACACCAAACATAAGAGGAATGTTAATGGACAAAAGAAGGGAGACCTATTCAAAATGTATTACAACAATGGACATAAAAAATGACTTGTAGCCAGTGACAAATTAAATTTTATGAAGATTAATAAAATTAATAAAAACAGGAGGTAAGATTTAAGACAAACCTTAAACAGTAGTTCACCTACATTATATTATCAGCTAACCACTCCTGTGACCAATTTCACAGTGCTTAAGTGAGGTAATCCTGAGTCAGATTTTTGAGTCTGGATTATCATTGAACACTTAATTTATGCACATAATTTGTAATCTACACCACCAAACAGAATGCATTAATATTTTGTTCTGAAATTTCACCTATGTGAAACAAATCAAACTTGCCTTGTGACCCTGAAGCGCCCTCTCCAATACTAAGTAGCAGTTGAGTAGCGGATCTCAATTGATGAGAATTTTTTATATTGACGAAATCACAGATCAGAATTCTTTCCTCCCAAAAAATTCCAATAGGGTTTGAGAATTTCTATTGGCTGATAAATTCTTCTCTCTCTTGGACCAAATAAAACTCAGTTTTACTTATTCAAAATTTGAACAAATCTTAAAATGATTTTCTAATGTTAAAATAGATTCGCTTTCAAAATTTAGTTAACTGTAAGCAATTTGTAACAAGATATCTGCAATGGTTACTTCAACTTCTATACTTCGTTCAATGTTGATAGAAGTGATCTAATCTGTTCAATAATCTCAGAAGGAATCTGTGAACCTTAACCACAAAACATTTTTCTAGTTGTGATCCAAAGTGTCTCAGTGGGTACGGGCATAGGCCTTTCTTTCAAGTTCTTTTCTTTGGCTTCAAGTCAGTATAAGATTCAGCACTGAGGCTAGTGACAGTGATTCTCATCTGCTGAACGGTCAAGTCAGTACTATGGCAGCTCCGAACGGAGCTAGGCTTGACTGATGGATTCCTTGAAGAGAACGGATAGCTTTGAGTCGGGAGGAACAGCAGCAGGCACTACCATCTGCGCCTTGCTGATGGAGGGACCGTACCTTCCCTTCAGAGCTACATTTAGTTTTCAAAAGACTGTGTGGAATGCAGGCAGCATCAGAAGCTATTTAGTAGCTGCCTTATGTCAATGGTCTCCAGCGTCAAAGACAATCCACTGAGTTGAAGGAATAAATATTATAACTTCTCTTTCTAATTTTATTTAAAAAACGTAAGAAAGCAGTCAAACTCTGCAAATGTTTAATACACAGATCAGCACTAGCACTATCATATGTTTATTACATGTTTATTACATGAGGTATGTGAGATAATGAGGACAGTGTGGGAGTTTCACAATTCAGAGCGACTGGTGGTGCCCAAGCATGCTTGTTCACTTTTAGCATATTGCAATATGCTGCAGCTTATATGTGCCTAATTAAGTGTACTTAAGATATTTTATTAAAAAGATTCCTGCAAAGAAACCACAGACTGAAGGCAATACTAAAGATTTTAGCGTAAGCAAATGGCAGAACCAACATTTCTACTATGACAAGGCTTTTAGTCAGTCTTATGAGGGATAACATTAACGACCTAATTAGGGCTGACGAAAAGTCAGCTAAAAAAGACTCAGAGTTAACAAGATTACTGGAAATACAGACTTATTCCTTTTTTAAAATTTTTTATTTTTGGTTAGGCAATGGGGTTAAGTGACTTGCCCAGGATCACACAGCTAGTAAGTGTCAAGTGTCTGAGGCTGGATTTGTTGAAATACAGATTTAAATCCTGTGATGAGGAACAATTTTACTGCTAATCTTGTTAGGACCAAAGTCCGTAGGCCCGTTTGTAAAGCTAAAAATTCATTATAGGCCTAAGAAGACTAGAAGGTCCCTACCACAAAGTCCCTTATTTTTCCCTTTAAAAGCAATGAAATCATTCTCAAGACTTAATTAGTTCAGAGAACTTAGGATCAAATAACTGACAAAGCTTCCCAATAACAAGGGATAAAGACTCAGCAAACAAGTAGATGGTGATTCTCAGGCTTAATGGACTTCCCACTGCCATAAAGTCAATGCATCTTTATTTTATTTTTAAAAAAATTTTAACAGTATTTTTTTCCAATTACATGTAAAGATAATTTTTAACATTCATTTTTTAAAATAAAATTTTGAGTTCCAAATTCCCCCTGCTCCTTCCCTAAGACAGTAAGCAAATCTGATATAGGTTACATATGAATGCACCTTTATTACTGGATCATCATTGTGACAAATGCGGAGGCAAGGGAAGAGGCACCTAACTGAACTAATATTACAACTTTGCTGAATATGCTTTCATGTTACTGTTGAGTAAACTTCCCTTTGTTAAATGTTATATGGTCTATGAGTCTCATTTGATTCTAGGCCTGAGCTAGAACCACTGGACTGGCTTAAGTAAGGCCTGGCCCAGAACATTTGGCATAGCTGATGGTTTGATTAGGAATAATCTTGTAGCTAAGCTAGTGGACAAAGTACAGTGGAAAATGTGAAGGGAGATGAGCTCCAGGTGATTAAGTGGCTTTGGGTAGGAGCAAGGCATCCAATGTCAACCATACTTTTGGATAAATAATGTGAGTTCTCTCAATGAGACAGGGAGGAGATTCTGACTGACTTGGAGAGAATTTATGTCTTTGGGTATTTAAAGAGGTTGACAGAATAAAGGTACCACAGGGGAAGCATTCCCTGGCTGTTGCTGATGGCCCTAGAAAAGCTAGATTTAACAACATAAGGAGAACAAAGTAAACTGTACAGTACATTCAGCAACTGGAGAAAGATGTGAATATATGCCTTCAGTCTTTAAGGACCATGTGACAAGGGCAGATGGGTAACTCGCGGTCTTAATAGTATGGAGCAATACTGATGTGTACCAGGACTTAACAACCCCAGAGAGCAGTATTCCCTTTAATTCAGAGGTATAACTAAAAAAAAAAAGTGTTTAATTATAAGGGGAAAAATGGGAGTGGCAGTAAGGATGAGAACTGGGAACCTGCCCCAGTAATAAGAGAGCTAAAACTCACTCTTACTATATACTATTGGAGTGACTTCCACCAGGGAAGACTTTCTCTAACCAAGGGAGTTAGTGCAAGAACAGTTTAGACAATGATGAGGACAATGGTCTGTGAGGATGTAGTTCAATAGAGTCAATTCCCATGGCTCCTCTTGGCTTCAGAGTTCCACTGGCTTGGGGATCTCAAAAAACAAACCAAAAAAAAACTTACTAAGTGTCTTACAGGAAAATCAGTCAGGTCCTGGATGGGAATTGTTCTTTGTCCATTTTTAGATGGCTAAGATAGGAAGTTGTGCAAACTCAGCCTGAAAAATATGAGTTCTTTTTGCAGTCAGTTCCTTAATGAGGTAAAGGGACTGGCTCTATACCTCCCCCCTATCAGTTAATATAAGTCTTTCCAGTTTCTCTGAAACTGTCCCCTTTGTTGTTTGTTATTCATTGCACCATATTATTGCATTACATTCAGATACCATAATTTGTTCATCCATTCCCCAATTAATGGGCATCCCTTTTATTTTCTAGTTCTTTATTGCCACAAAAAGCACTGCTATAAATACTTTTGTAAACACAGGGCCTTTTACACTTTCTTTGATCTCTCTGGGGTATAGGCCTAGTAATGGAGTAAAATGATTTTTAAATTATGTCTCCTTGCTTTGTTTTCCTGGTCACCTACTGACACCACAAATCTTACATTTTTTTAATCTTTTGATTAATATTTCTGCTGCTCATGGAGTAATTTATTTCTATCTGGTCTATTCTAGTTTTTAGGGAGTCTACTTCTTGGGCAAGGTTTATCACTTTCTCCTCTAAGCCAGGGCTTCTTAAACTTTTTCTATTCATGACCCCTTCAGCCCTTCTTAAGTTACTTATTCTTTGTCTAATTCTTTCCTCAAAAGCTTTTATTTCATTTCTAACTCCTAATTTCTTCTATGTATTCATGCAATCCAGCTAAGTGGTACAGCAGATAAAGTACTGGATCTAGAGTCAGAAACACCTGAGTTCAAATCTGGCTTAGACACTTATTAGCTGTGTGACCCTGGGTAACTCATTTTTTGTTTGCCTCAGTCTCCTCACTTGCAAAATGGGGATAACAATACCTACTGCCCAGGATTGTCATAAAAATAAAATGTGATAATATTTGTAAAGCATTTTGTAAATCTGGAAGTCCTATATAAATAGTAGTTATTGTTAGTATATTGTTACTTTGAATCTCTGCTTGCAGTTGTTATAGTTACTTGCTCCTTTTTGGGGAAGCTTTCTAGCTTTGAAATAATTTTTTATACAAGTCGGTGTTTTGATTTGCTCATCTTTCCAGTTTTACTCTTTGAAATGGGGCTTTGTATCAGGGCCAAGTTTTGCCTCCTAATGTACATTTTGGCCCTATTTGGTCTCATCCTGGGTCTTTTGGGTTCCTGCACTGATCTCTACCTTCAGGAATTAGGCGCCCCCCTCCCCCCCTCAATGTTAGAGGTTC